ACAGCGCCCCTAGAGGACAGAGTGGAACTGCCCACAGGGTCTCCAAGGCTGTCAGTCTTCATGGAAGCAAAGCCCAAACCACACCCACTGCCTGGAGTCCATTCTGACCCACAGCGCCCCTAGAGGACAGAGTGGAACTGCCCACAGGGTCTCCAAGGCTGTCAATCTTCATGGAAGCAAAGCTCACGATCTTTATAGAACCAAACTCACTGCCATGGAGTCCATTCTGACCCACAGCGCCCCTAGAGGACAGAGTGGAACTGCCCACAGGGTCTCCAAGGCTGTCAATCTTCACGGAAGCAACGTCCACTGCCATGGAGTCGATTCCGACCCACAGCGCCCCTAGAGGACAGAGTGGAACTGCCCACAGGGTCTCCAAGGCTGTCAGTCTTCATGGAAGCAAAGCTCACGATCTTTATAGAACCAAACTCACTGCCATGGAGTCCATTCTGACCCACAGTGCCCTTAGAGGACAGAGTGGAACTGCCCACAGGGTCTCCAAGGCTGTCAATCTTCATGGAAGCAACGTCCACTGCCATGGAGTCGATTCCGACCCACAGCGCCCCTAGAGGAGAAAGTGGAACTGCCCACAAGGTCTCCAAGGCTGTCAATTCTTACTTATGAAATCAAAGCCCAAACCACACCCACTGCTATGCTATGGAGTTGGTTCTGACCCACAGCGCCCCTAGAGGACAGAGTGGAACTGCCCCACAGGGTTCTCAAGGCTGTCAGTCTTCATGGAAGCAGACTGCCCCATGTTTCTCCCACAAAGTGGCTGCCGGTTTCAAACCATGACTTTTGGGTTAGCAGCTGAGAGCTTAACCACTATGCCAACAGTGCAAATCACAGTCGTTCGTAGTTTTGTAAACTGGACAAAACAATTATGAGACCACAATCTTCATGGAAGATCTTACTTGAACGCCATCTGCACTAGGTGTGCTAAGACATCCTGGGCGTCCAGTGTGATGCGGCTGAGGTCTCGGTCTTGCTTGACGAAGTTGAGCAGCTCAGACGCGTTCGCCATCCAAAAGGCCAGGGCGCCTGCAATGTTCTTCTGTTTCTGCAGGCAGAGCAAATGCTGTCAGCAAGCCCAGCACCACCACAATCACAAACACAAAAGGATGCTCTTGAAAGCTGCCGAGGACAGACCAGAACCTTCCCTCTCACCCCAGTATTCACCACAGATACCAGATAAGTGCAGGGAACCTGGGCACACACACAGCAAGGGAAGCAAATGGGCACTGCAATGTCTTAGCGTTCACACAGACGCAACGGGTCAAATTAGCTGTGATTCAGTGAATCAGTGGAGAAGTGGAGCCAGCCGATAGTGCCATCCCAGTCTGGACGTGCATTATCTGGTAATCTGTGAAGTACACACACGCATCCAGTCACCCACAGGCACCCTGATACTTGGAGTCGCCAGCGTGGACACCATGCAACTCAGTATCAAGTACTGCTCTATCGTGTCATCTCCCGACCCCATGTGCAGGCCAGGCAACCTCAGATGAGATCCGAAGAATAGGAACCGAGGGCAGACAATGAAGAGAAGAGCCAGGACCGCTGTCCCTTCAGATCCACACTGAGGTGCATTAAGCAGAAGTTATGAAATGCTGGTAAAGGGTGCACAGTCAAACAAGGCTTTAGTACTGCATGTGTCAGGTGCCGAACGAGGGTTATGAACTGCTCAGCGCAGTTGCTGGAGCGCTGGACTTGGACATGGAAGCAGCATGAAAACTCAGCTAAGCCAACATAGCCAGGACCAGGTCCCAGCGGTGATCCTACCTGATCAACCTGGTCTACTTCCTGGAGAGAAACGGACGAGGGGAAACCAAGCAGAACGAGAGAAAGAAACGTGTGAACAATCATGACCGTTTACAAAATCAAAACACTCACATGAAGGCACGACATGAGGGCACGACATTTACTTCTCGGATCCCCACATTACTTTTCCCATGTGGCCCTGAAGCAGCTTTGCAAATACGTGATAGAAAGGGTTTGTTTTATGTTCTGAACACTGGCTAACTACTGAGTTCCCTGGGCTTCCTATATAAACGGTTACAGGCTGACACCCACGAACACACTGATCTCTTTTAAGGATTTGCAAAGCGGGCCTCAGGGAGCCTCTCTACAGCACTGTGTGCTTGTTAAGGCTTGTAAAGACCCACACTGAGCATCCTGTCTTACTTTTCCCTAAATCAGTTTCTAAGAATGAAAAAGACAGGAAGGACCAACCAATAGAAATGAAAAAACACAAAAGGTAGAGATGTAACAATGTCTAGAGAAGGTCTACAAAGGCTACACTGAAAGGAATAATCTTTTGTTTTTAAAAACAGGGCTTTTTTTTTTTTTTTTGATAAATTAAAGATTTTAACTCTTTCCAGAACATCTAGAATTGCTGCAATTACATACTAAACCCAAATCTGAAGTTTCAAAGACTTGTTTTGATCATGGTAATTTCATCGACTTCTTCAAATTCAGGCAGGAAAGTCTTATAAAGAGCGTCTGATCACAGGAGCTTGGGGATGTGAAATAGACTAGGAATCCAAACATAATGGAGACAGACAACGGCTCTGAATGAAAACGGAAAAGGAAATCCATGCTTGCTTACAGAGTGACATTTGGGGGAATCAAAACCATAACCAGTAAAATGTCGCTCCTTTTCCCCATCTCCTTGCTGGGGCCAAAGACTCCTAACCTGTGGAACTCCCATTACCCTAATCACTCAAACAGCACAGAGCCATTCCTGGAGGAATGTTAGCCTTCTAAACAAAGCCAAGGAATTCCAGGATTATTTCAGTGTGCCTGCAAAGAGCCTGTCAGGAGAACAGTGAAGTCCATCCAACCCTGTTACTTAACATCATGTAAGGAGAATTCGGGGTTCTTCAAGTTTTATAGTTGCCTTGATAAGCAATTCTGGAAAACCTAATTTACTCTTAAGGGCTTGAAAGATTAAATCTTCAAATTATCTCAAAGTATGAAAAATGACTGTCAATTTCACTGGCCGCAGACATAGGATTCAAAGGAGGCCAACTGATTAACCAGAGAACCCCCTCACTTGTCAGGGTTTCCAACATCAGTCAATGAGGAAGGTGAGCCTACACTTCATCTTGCATAAGCCACAGGTCATGGGGTCCACTGTAGCCACAGCCATGCTATCGAAACCCAGACCACCACTCACAGCCTAGTGGGTGGGCTCTCCATCCTAAGGATGGGTGCCCTTCTAGGACCGTGAGGCAGTCCCAGCACGACTCAGTCCCCACACTCTCACGACCCTGACTGCCACCTTAAGGGCGCCGTCCACATCATTATATTGTCACACACACAGTTCATCTCTTGTTTTCTTAATTTGCAGGAAAAAAGTTCATACTTTCTTTCAATATTTTAATATCACACATTTTCTTTCCACACTACTTATACAACTTATTTCAGGGAAAAAACAAACCTTTAAATCAAGAGTCAGTGCACATGCTCGATCAGAAAAGCTACAGGCTGGGCCTGAAGCAACTCCAGACCCTCAGCGCACTGCACACCGCGTACCGTGCACCGTGCACCGCGCCAGGCTCTGCAGGCAACACTCACCTGGATCACACCTTCCATCATGCTCACCATCTTGTTGACGATGGCAATGACCTTGTGGGTGCGCTCTGTAGGGCTGAGGTCAGGCCTGTACTGGCTCGACAGGACATATCGACAGGCCATGTATAAAACATACGTAGGGGACAACTTAAAATGGACTGTGGAGCTGTTAGTGTAATTGATGATGGCGGATAAAAAGGAATCTTCAGCTGTGAAAAGATTTCAAAACAGAAAAAAATCCATGAAAATACAAGGGAGAACAATGGAAGGAGAAATTAACTCAATAACAAGGGAATGTGACGTTACTCACAGCTTTCCCGAAACTCAATGCCTGCGGGCAGGACCGACTCGGGCCCGGGAGTGTCCTGGCTTCTAAAGGAAGAGAGGAGCAAGGATTAAAATCAGCATGTGGCCACCAGCATCACCGACAGCCAGTGTAGGTTTCTGCACCTATTTTCTTCAATTTCTCCAGAGTTTTTCCCAAGAACAGACAGAACAGTATCTATTTTCATATGTAAGCTGTTCAAATACTTAGGTGCTGTCCCTGGATTCTGACCTCCATCCTGAAAATGAAGCTGACGCCCAGTGCTACGCGACTAATGAACCCCTGACACAGTGCTGAGATCAGGCTGGCCTGTGCCTGCCCCAGCTGGGGCCCCAGTGCCCACGGCACCAGCACCGGGGACGTGGTGAGCGCATCACCACGCTGAGCCTGACACTGGGCGTGCACACGTGAGCACATGGCTCCCAAGTATGAGAGAGACAGTTTCTCACTACGGACCCGAGGGGTCCAAGCGGCTTGCTCCAGCCTAGCCATCCCCTGGATCATCCTCAGGGCCCCCCAGCAAGGCATCTCAAGAAGGCATTCTTCGATCCTCAGCCTATATGACTATGAGACCAGAATAACCAGATGGTGCCCGGCTACCACTGTCCACCACTCAGAGGGGGATCAGTACAGGAGATCCTGCATACAGTGAGAGAACAATGTGGAACAAAACTCAAAATCATTTGGAAAAATAAAAAAGGAACCAGGTTTGCTGGTCTGATAGAGCTTGATGGAACCCCTGAGACTATGGCCCCCAGCTGCCCTTCAGGTCTGGAATAGAATCCACTCCTGTGGGTTCCAGCCAAACCAAAAACAGGCATATGAGCTGAACATTTACACTAGGTAGATACACTCCTTGGAGAGAAAAATCATGGGAGAACAGAAGGGCTATGCATGCACAGGGAGACAGCTCAGGGGGCAGGAGTGCATGGGAGGGAAGGACACAGGGAAGAGGTAACTATGGGGAGGAAGTGGGAGGGGAGCTGT